TTGCTCGATGCGGAGACGCCGGGTTTGATTTGCGTTCTCTTAGTTCTGGGGATGGGGCTGGGGTAATTATGAGTTCCGCACAAGTGGTTGCTGTGGTGTGGGCTATGATTGGTGTGCTACTGGGGATTTGAGGTCGATGATTCGGATTTGGTGCCGGATAAATAAACTGTTTGATTTACACCGCACTGTTGCATTTGTTGTTGGCGACGGATATGTTTTGGATTTGCTGAGGTGTGCATTCGTTGCCAAGTGTCCTTTGCGAGTTCATGCATCGCGTCACGGAGTTCCCACAGGCTGCAAGAGGGCTGGTCACGAGAGGCCTTGAGCACCCAAGCAACTTGATCCAATCGGAGGTTGTTGGGTTTCCTTGATGCGACTGGTCAGGTCTGGTTACCTGCCAGCTGACCCAGGACAAGGCTGTCGACCCGCTGCCTAAGTGCACAGATCTGAAGGAGGCGGGAGTGCCGCAAAATGGCAGGCGGGTTTCCACACACAAGCACAGCACACAAAGCACACACACACAGAGCACACACTGTGAGCAGGCGCGCACACACACAGAACACACACACACACACTAGCACAGGCACGCAGAGCACGCAGCCAGCGCACGCAGCACACTGGCTTTGCTTCGGCATCCATGCCCAAAGCATACGAACACGAGAGGCATAAGAGGGCGAAATGAGAAGTGCGCAAGTTTTGCAATGGCTCCAGGCTTTTGAGCCATGTGGTGCTCAATGAGGCCCAGTAATTAGTGCCCAATAGGTGCCCGATAGGACCCAATGATGCCCGAGAAGGCCCGCCAACCCGCCACTTCTTGCAAACAATGGTGGAGGACAGACTTTGCTGGTTTTTCCTTTGCCAGCACTCCATTCTTCCTCATGAGTCGGGCAAGCTGTTTTCCGTGTTTTGCTGGCGAATGCCAGCGTTGCTCCAACTTGGGGCAGAACAATTTGCTCAGAACCCTTTCTAGGAAGGTTCGACGGGCCTTTCCTGCTGGGTGGGGCAGGCCTTGTTAGTGTCTTGGGGGGTAGCGTGCGGTGCATTTGCTTGAGGCAGACGCCCATGAAGCAGCACGACGCTTACGCGAAGGTTTTGTGCGGCTTGGCCAGCGGAGAGGGGTCTGCTTTTGATTTTGGACTGCTGCGATGGGTCCAGCTAGTTTGCTGAGTTCATGGACCTTAGTCACTTTTTGCGCCTGGACCATTTTAGTGGCAAACTACAAGTTCAGACCTTTTTTTTGGGCCATCAACAATTGGGAAGTGAGCCACAGGTCCAAAGATAAGTGTTTTGTCTCCGCGCTTGCCTCATCAAGCTGAAAGGGTTTCCTGACACAACGTGTTTGAGCTTATTTGTTTTCAACCAGTTTTAGTAGTTGTCCCAAAAGATGATCACCTTGTATGTGGGTTTTTCGTGGAATCCTACAAATTTGATTCTAGCGAACACTCAGACAGAGTCTTCCTCACGTGCATGTGCTTGAGGAATCCTAAAGGATCTATATACTTCTAGGGGTTGATTCCCCATTCTTTTCAGCCATCGTTCTTTTCAAAAACCGATCGCCATTTCCCCAGGGTGTTTGGTGGTTTCCTAGAAAGAAGGATCCCTGGAAATAATGGAAATAAAAGTTACGGCCAAAACATCCCGCTTGCCCGCGACGTCTGCGACCGCTCCCGCCCCGACCCTTAAAAAACGTGGCAGGCATGGGAGCTTGTAGACCTGTGTGTGGTGAACTCCCTCAAAACTTGGGGGTCGAAACCTGGATTTGGAGCACCCTGTCTTGGGTTTAAACCCTAAACCCTAAGCCCTAAACCCTAAAAACCCTAAAGCTAAACCCTAAAAACCCTAAACCTAAACCCTAAAAACCCTAAACCTAAACCTTAAAACCCCGTAAACCTAAACCCTAAACACCAGAAACCTAAACCCTAACAACCCTAAACCTAAACCCCAACAACCCTAAACCTAAACCCTAACAACCATAAACCTAAACCCTAACAACCCTAAACCTAAACCCTAAACACCCTAAACCTAAACCCTAAAATTCCTAACCCTAAGCCCTAAAGGCAGCGGCAGACATCCCCATAAAGATGCTTGTGGGCGCGCCGCGTGTTGTGTGGGAAAAGTTACCCCTAGACTTTTGGCCAACACATTTTCCTCTTTGAAGACCATCTGTCAGGAGACTCGAGGCCCAAACTGACCCAAGGGGTGGATGGTATCAATCCACCGTCGATCCCTGGCCTCCGCCGCAGCTTCGTGGGGCTCGTGGAGGAGTGGGACTTGTCCATCTGCCTCTTCCACAAGATGCTGGGAGGAGACCAGAGGTCCGCTTGAAGCTCATCCCCTTCGACTTCTTTTTTTGTGGGGGGGGAGGACCCCCCAAGAAAACCACTGCACACAATAGACCAAAACTATCCAAGACTGGGATGGTGTGTTTTGTGTTTTTTGTTTTGCCGGGGCGGCAGAATGAGACGGCAGATTGCTCTTGGCTAGCTTCTCTCCAAGTGGCCCAATGCAACGGGCCACTTTTGTTTCTGAGAAGTTCCAAGTTGCAGAAATCGCGGCGTCGGCCTTTTGCGGATATCACTGAGGCCGAGACTTTTGAATGTCGCAGGATGCTTGAAGCCTTACGGCGGGCGTGCCTGAGAGGCGGAACCACTGGCCCTTGGAATGTCTTCAGAAGGCCTTTTGCCTGCCCACTTTGTTGTGGAGGGGTGCTAAGACAGTGAAGCACTATGCTCAGGATGCAGGCCGGGATGTCCTTATCATGTTGCCGTCGGCCTGTCTAGGAGATTGCCTCTTCTCCGAGTTCGAAAACACCAGACAGCCCCTTGGTTGCAGCGGCCGCCTTGACGAGGCAAGATGAGTTTGGGGCCAATTTGACTTTCAGGTTCCACGCGTCGACGGTCCGTGCCCACCATTCAACACAGATCACCGTACTGGTTGGTCCCATCCTGCTGACGATGCTGGCAGTTGGTGGATGCGGGAAGTTGAATGGGCCCTTGAACTGAACAGTACGCGGCCTGGTGCTCAGGGAATGACGCAGGGTTTTGGGAGTGAACTACCTTAGGGCAAACCATGCGGGATGGTTTATACGGGTCAGGGAATATGGGGACGACCCCTGCAATGCACTTATGGATGTATGGGATGGTTGGAAGTGGAGTATTTTTCAGATTCTCTGAGAACCAGAAGCATCTCGAACTTATTCGACCAAGGAACCCGAACGAGTACAACACCTCGGAGCTTCAGGGATTCAACGACACCTTGGATGGTCAGGACCCCAGCTGCTGTTGGTGGTCATCCTGTACAGCATCTCTTGAAGGATGCATCCGAAAGCAACGTGATTGACAAGGGGGGCCTTCAAATCAGCTCTTAAGGTTGATGCGGTACCCTGTTGCAGAAGCTCGTTGCTGTTGGTTGCTTCGGGCTTGCGCGCGGTCTCAGGGTAAGCCCCGCATGCGTCGTCCAATTCCACGAGGTTCAATCAGACCATGCTATGCTGGCAAGGTTGCTCAAAGCTCATATCAGCTGCAATGTAATTAATGCCCCAGTGCAGGGCTTACTCATATCTCATTTTGTTTGGTTAGTGCTCCCCCGCTTGGCCGAGCGGTCCCCAATCCGAGGTCCGCATCAGGTTTTTTGTTTTTTTGTTTTGTTCTTTCTGACCATCGAAAGACCTTTTGCCATTTGATATTCGAAGGGTTCTGCCTGAAAGGGGTGTATATTGCGAGAGCTCCGGCTGGTCAAAGCTCACCCATGGAGGTCCCTTTCTTGCGGATCCTTTGCTCAGATCAAGGATCGACAGCTTGAATCAGATTGCGTACAGGATTGTTGGGGTCCTTGTGGGGTGACAGGTTGCGCAATTCCTTTCCCCCATTTGGGTCACCCACTTTACCCACCGAACGGTGTGAGCATGGCGTTCCCCCAACCCACCCGTTCGACCCGATGATTGACCCAGGCATCGTCTACCAAGAGGCGCGGAGCATCTTTCAACGAAACCTCAAGCTCTACGGCGCCGCTTGGCTGGAATTTAGTCGGTTCGATTCCCCGAAGTGGTCCGCGCGGAAAATGCCTTACATTCCAACCCTGGCGAAATACGGGTGTGTCTTTTGAAAGGTTGGACCCCCAACATGGCTCCGGTGTGCCCTTTAGTTTTCCTTTAAACCACAGAAAAACCAACAGGCCCCCTCAAAATTAAACGAGCCATCCATATGAAACAGGATCAGAGCATACCGTATTCTTTTTTGCTACGCCCACAGGTGGATGAAGAACTGGAGTGCTACCTTGTTCACGGCTCTGTGGCCTGAAATGTGGGGTTGCTTTAAACGGAAGCCACAAGGGGCATTCTTATTTTGAGACAAACCAACATTTGAGCAAAACCAAGCAGACACTGCAGGAAGTGGCGGGTTGTCTCTTGTTTCTTCTCGGAATGGAAGTAACCTGTTTGGGTTGGTGGCACATCAATACAAAAGGCGTCAAGTCCATAAAACGTACAGGTGGATTCTTGAATTTTGGTTCCCCTCTACCCCTGAATTTGTTTAGTTGGCTTCCCCCGCAAAGCTTCCATAGCCCTGCTGTCCTCAACTGCCCTCCAACCGCTCACTTCAAAAGAAGATCGATCCGAAAGACTCTGGGTCTGTTTTTTCTATGCCCACGTGGGTCTGTGTTTTTCTGAAGGTACCCGCTTTGGAGGGTTCAAAGGGAAACCAAAAGGAAACCGAAAGACTCTCCGGGATGATCGGTGGAGTCGCATTTCTGCCCGTGGCCCGATCGAGCGTTTTTTCTCGGGGGAGTTTTCAACGTCATCTTCACGCTGGGTGGCCCCCACCTTCGCAAGAAACTCCCGAGCCACGGAAACAGCTTCTACCGCCTGCCCAAAGTGGGCTCACCATACGTAACTTTGGACCCAGTGGGACGAATTCCGATGGCAAGAGGGAGAGAGAGAATCCGAAACCTTAATCCCAAGCCGGTTGGGCTTCCGGGTTTGACGTTGCGCCCGTTTTGCGCAAGAATCTCCCAACCCACCACTGAATCCCAAAAATGCGTAACTTTAGAACCAAGAACCTTTCAAAAAAAGACAGAATGCGCAAAACCTGCGCCCATTTCCCAAGTCAGCTCACATCTTCCTGCTCCTTGGGTTCGCGAGGTGTCAAATGAGAGCTGCCAGCCCTGCTTCCAGCGCGCACAGCTTACGGCGGACCTTGAGATCCTGCGAGGCAGAAGAAACGGGTGGGTCAGTTGCTGGCAACATTCGGGTCCTTAGGCTTTTCACTTTTCAGTTGACAGGGCTCCTTAGAAGAAATTCATGTTGCTGGCCCATTTGAAACATGTTGCTTTTTCAACACCAAAATAAAGGGACACCACCATTTACAGGGCAATGTTCAGGTGTATAATGTAAGGATCCCTGGTTGATTTAGCGGTTGGGTGTCTTAGGTTGTTCACCTTCTAGTTGGTTTCGCGGTTGGGGTTCCTTAGGCTTTTTTCACTGTTTAGTGGCTTTAGCGGAGGTGTGTCAGGTGTTTTTGTGTCTTTCTTTCTTTCTCACGTCTTAGTGGGCTTGGTGGTCGGGTTTCCGAATTTGTTCGACGACAAGTTGAAGCTTTTGGCAAGGGATCTGAGTACGTCCCAGCTGTTGGGCATGTGGGGTTTGATCAATCCCTTCGGCCCCCAAGCTATGGGCAACTGTTCTCATGTGACCCTCATCTCGTTTTGATGTGGTTGCCCTAATGGCCACCACATGCAAAGGCCCCTTTCAACCCCCATGTGGTTTGTTAGAGTTTGCGAGGTAAGGGCCTTCATAGTTCTTCAAATCATTTCTAAAAGCTTCTTTCTCATGTGTTGACTAAACTTTGTGTATGGTTTTAATTCCCCTTGTTGGAGCTTAGCTTAAAGGGAAGGAAACCAAAAGGAAAACCATCATTGGAGTTCCAAGCCCCGTTTTTTTGACACATGCCCATTTCAACGGTGCAGATTTTTCCCAGTTTCAACGGTTCGAGTGTGGTTGGTTGTTTCAAAGTTCACTTCCTGAGTTCATGAACTTTAGTCACTTTTTGGGGTTGGACTATTTTAGTGGTAAATAAAAAGTTCGGGCTTTTTTTTGGCCATCCACTCAGCAAGTGTAAAGGGAGTTGTCGGGCACATTCTCGTGGGTTCCTCCGTTCTGACCTCTGGGAAGTGTGTGGGGGCGGTGTGCTTGGGAAGCAGTTTTACAGCTCAAGGTTCCGGCTTAGCCCGGCCTAGCCCTTTTGGTCTGGTGGGTCGCCATTGTCATTGTTTGAATCAAAAACCACCAAGAAGACTCTCGCCGAGCCAGGCTTTCAATTTTTTGGGGGTTGGACCAGAGGGGTAAAGCTTTGACTTTGTCTGGCCAATCCACTCAAGTGAGGCTAAAAGGCTTACCAACCGCTTTTGCTTTAGAGCATGCTTCAAACTGGAATTCTGGACTCAAAGGGGTATCTGAGTCAGGTCTGCTGATTAGATTCATGTCTTGTGAAGTCATGGGGAGGTCCCTCTGATGCATGTGGCTCCAACCCAATGTTTGATCCAGACCGTTAATAAGCTGTTCTTCTTGGCGACTTTTCAGAGGATCTGCTAGCAAAGGGGCCCTCGTGGTTCCATGCTTTTTGCGTGTCAATCATTACCTGTTCAGCCCCGTTTAACCTGAGATCCCTTTGGAGTTAGGTTTGGAAGCACATAGGCGGCGCAAGCTTGGATAGGGGACACCCTCGAAAGTAGCTGATGGATGTAGGTGCCCGCCTACACGATGCCTACCAAACGGTTCCCAATTGCCCATGTTGGGAAACAAGGGGCGCTCCATGTTTGGGTTATCGCAAAACAGACTTAAACCCTGGTGTTCCCTTTGAGCCCTGCATCAAACACATGAAATGAATGTTGTTTATTTTCCCTTCTTGGTTTCGAGGGCTGAATCTACGACTAGAACTTTTTCCAGGATTGCTTGCTTGGGGGTGTGAACCCTGGGCAAATGGGCCCCGCGAAGACCACCAATCCACCCTGGAGGGACTGGATCTTTCTGGCCGGACGCTTTGGCGGCTGCATGAACCACCGGGCTCCACGCCAGCCTTTCCAAAGGAAGCTCACTGGATCTTTCGAAGCTGACTGGATCTTTTGTGCTGGACCCAGCCCTGAACCAAGCCACCAATACGTTGTGTGCTTGGTGGCCTAAGTGCATCTCAGCAGGTACGTCTCACTTGTTCAAAACGGATCCACCTTGTAACTCGTAGCCTGTTGGTTTTGATTTTTTTAGCAACCAACTTGAATGGTCCCAATAGGTGGTCACCTTTTATTTCGGGCTCGCTGGGGAGCAACTGAGCACGACTCACCACGTTCTTCCCATCCCCCGCTCCGCCCAGTTCGCGGCTTCGCACGCCCCCTGCCACTGGACTTGGCGCCCTTTGCCGTGGTGCTGCTGAGCCTTCTGAGCGCATAAGATAGGGCTGAGCTGGGACAAAACTTGTTTTGCTTCTTGGCTTGGCTTAATGGATTGTTTGGTTAGTTTGTCATTTGGTTGGCTTGTTTGCTTGTTCGTTTGTTTCTTTGCGGGTAATGTCATTTTTGCGTGTTAGTCTTTCTTGTTCGCCCGAGTCATCAGGAGCAAAAGAGATTGCGTGTCGGCTTCCGCGCTCTGCGAGGGCGGGCGGGAGAGAGTCCTGCCCATTGGCCCATTGGGCCCATGGTTGCTCAGTTGTTCAAAACGGATCGATATTGTGACAACTGTTGTTTTCTCCGATTTTGGCAACCAACTTTAGTAGACCCAAAAGGGTGATCACCTTTTATTGTGGGGTCCCTGAGGGGCAACTGAGGTTGTGGACAGGGAGTTCAGGGCCAGCTTCTGGGATACCTAGGAAATGCTCTCACAGCGATAAAGTATCGGTTCGTTTTCCAGGGATCCTTCTACACACCTGAACATTGCCTTGTCAATGGCGGGTTCCCTTTGTTCTTGTGAAAAAGCCATCTTTCACGAGGTTGCAAAATGTATCTTTTAAGGAGCCCTGTTTTCCTCAACAGCAATAGGCCCCCCTTTCAAGTGAGAAAGTAGGATGGTCCAGACTAACGTAGCGCTCATGCAGCGGCTTGAACATGTAAGGAGGGCCAAGGATGGTCTTCACAAAAAGGTGATGCTCCACAGCCAAGGTTCAGCCGTACTTCCTCCCACTAGCATGGCACTTGTGGGGAGGTACCTGGCTTTTTTGGGGGGGGTTCCTTTTGAAGAGACCCCTCTCTTAGTGGGAGGGAGGGATCTTCAATCGGAAGTTCGGATCAATGCTGGAGATTCGAAGTAGCTCCTTTTCTTCCCGGGCCAACCTCTGTTGCGCACTGCGGTGTCAGGGACATGGTTGCCCTCACACACAAAACTTCAAGTCGGGAAGGCTTCCATGTCTGGCTCGTTTGGGCATTATTTCTCGGCGTGGTAGGTCAAGAGAAAAGAACAACTTCAGTTGTTGTTCTTATTTGGTTTCTTTGCGAATGTGTTTCGAATTGACTTGCTAGTTCGTATTTGTGGCGCATTGATCCCGAATTTATGATATTCCACGTGTGTGTTACACGAAAAATGATCCGGATCCCTTCTAAATCGCAGTCCACCGATTCTCTTGCAGTTGGGTTTCAATTTCGCTTCTTTGTGTACTTTCAATTATTTTCATTTGTGTACTTTCAATTATTTTCAGTTGAGTGGCAGCCTCTAAAATCCATGTTTCTTTCCCGGGTCATGCTCACCCCATCTCACCCCCAAAGAAAAACGGGCCACTCCGAGCTGGTTCCGATTCTGGGTTTCCTTGCAACTGAGAATGCCCTCAGTTTGGTTTAATAAATCTGCGTTACTAAGCACCCCTTCACCCTGTTGTAGCCAAGGGTAGACCAATGGTAGACTTGGCGCATCTACTTTCAGCCTGGTGCAAGCCAAGCCACCAAGCGCAGACCAAGGGACGAGGGTCGCTGTTTTGACTGTTTGCGGGGGTTCAAAATCTGACACTTTGTTGTTGTGTCCCTTTACCCCACCACCTTTAGACTGGGACCATGGTTTAATTAAAAGAGACGCCAGCAAAAAGTGGAAAACCTGAGCTGTTAGCTCTTCAAGGGTTCCCTTTACCCCTTTGCAATGGCTTGCCAAAGGGATTTTTTCTGGAGAATCGGATTTTCAGGAAACCCCTCCCACTTTTTAGGTTGGTAAAGGGAAACCGGATCCGGAACCCAGGCATTGTGGGGGGTCGCCTCATTGCAACCGCAGGCTCCTTTTTCCAACGGACCCGCAGGTCCACCGGGAGCTTGACCGCGCCCGAAAGGAGAACGAGGCCCTCAGGCACGATCCAAGCGGTGCTTGGTGCAGGGTGGAAAACCGACTCCTCACAAAAGGAGACGTCCTTTCTGGGTTTGCCTGTTGGTTTGTTGGTTTGTTCCTGTTGTCTAGCTTAATTCTTGTGGCTTTGTGACCTCATGAAATTGCCCTTTTTTCCGTGCGGCCTTCGGCCTTCATCGTGCTTATGGGAGGTTGCCCTGTGACCCCAACCAACCGGTTTCCCCGCGCCTGGCTTTTCTTTGGATCTGAGCCGGCGCCCGGAAAGCGACCTCTGACCACATCGGTGGATTCTGGGACTTTGGCTTGGGCCCAGTTTTTTTGGGGGGTGCCTGGCCGTCGCTTTTGATTCAGAAAGGCGCGTTCTGTGGGACCGGGGCCCTGCGACCAGAACGCCGTCGCAACACCAAAACGCTTCCTTTTACTTGTCCCTGGGCTTGGGCCCATTTTTTTGGGTCCAAACCGGGCCGCCTCACACCCATTCGCCCTGCAGGGAAGAGAATGAGAAGCTAAAGCATCAGCTGCCCGAGCCTCGGAACAGAGCCGATTTTGTGCCCTTTGGCCCGGTTGGGGTTCCTTCGCCTTTTCTGTAGCCAGCCAAAAGTGAACTGTCTGCGAAAACCCGAAATCTGGCTAACATGATGAAATCATGTAAACAGCTTCACTGTTGTTGGCACGTTTTTTGGTTGTTTGGTTCTGTTCATTTTTGGTAGGCGGCTCCAAAGTCACGGTCAGTTTTTGGCTGGCCCATGCCGTTTGGGTCGCAAGGACAGGGTTCCCTCGATGTTCGCTTTGGATTGATACCATCCACCTCTCGGGCCACTTTGGGCCTTGAGTCTCCTGACAGGGATGGTCTTCAAAGAGGAAATATGTTGGCTAAAAGCCTAGGGGTAGCTTCCACATTCTTTTCAGGGATCCTTCTTTCTGGAAGACCACAAAAAACCTGGCGAAATGGCGATCGGTTTTTGAAAAGAACGATGGCTGAAAAAGAATGGGGAATCAACCCCTAGAAAACGCCTTCAGCGCGAAGTTGCGAGCGGATGGTTTCTCTCTGACTTGACACCGGTTGGGAAATCCTTAGCCCATTGAGCTCAAATCAGGCTCCGCAGCCTAAGATGCCTAAGATGGAACCCCATCAGACCACTGTTTGGGGTTCCTTCTGTCAGTTTGAGGGGGAGTACGGGTCAAGATTATGTTTGTTGGTTTTCCTGGTACGTACACGGGGGCTGTCACTTCCCACTGCATGCACGCTATTAAATCCACACACACACACAGCTCGCTGAATCTTTGTGCACGACACGCGTGGATCACAGTCTCGTGAACCCGTTCCAAGCCAACGCCATTCCGATGCTTTGTCGAGGACATCCGCTAGCCGATTTGGAGAGAACCTTGGCAGAGCATGCTTAGTCGCCCTCCAATCATGGAAGCTGGCAGGGTTTTGGAAGACGAATCGCCCCATGAATATGCCCCCTGCATCAAACGTATGTTTGCCGGTGGAACGATATATGTAGAAATCGGCCACATGGTTGCAAGGTATCGATTGTTTTTTTAGATTTCGTCTTGTATTGGTGTAGTATTGGTGTAGTATTGGTCCAGTATTGGCTGTCAAATGTTCCGTAATATGACTGGAGCTGATTTTGGAACGATCTTTGTGCAACCCATTTAGACCCATCGTGTTTGGGGTATGCCGGTTTGGCGCATGTGAGAGGGACTTTAGTGGTTTTGCAACCTTGATCTTTCCAGATCCCTCCCATCGATGCCGCTTGGACTTTTGGGTCGCGCAGAGGCATCACGACCCGGGCAAGGCGCGTGGATATGTTTCCCGGTGGTGTGGATGGACGGCATTCATTTCGCACCACTTAGGAAACCCTGGAAGGATGATTCCCCTCTAAAATGTCTCCCATGGTTTCTCTTCGTGGTTCCTAAGAGGATTTCGCCCATCAGCAGGAACCCCTTAGCTGGATCGATTGCTTGGGATTTGAATCCTTGGTTTGTGGCAAATGGTAAACCACCGCTAACATCCAAACCTTAATTCAATCCACAGGTAGAATGACACCCTGTGTAGGTGCGGGCTGGGCCTGAGTTGATGTGAACAAAAAGGCGAGGACTGCCTTTTTTTGCAGGGAACCAGCAATTTAACAGGTTTCCGAGCCATTTCCCTCGTGAAGCCTCCAAGAGTGGCAAGTCAATTGCCACTTCTTCCAACACTTGGAGGGGAAATCTAGCAACGGGCTTCACAGATGTTGAAGTGAGTGGTTTGCGCAAACCCGTGTTTTGCTTTGGGCCTCAGGGACGGATGGCGCGAAGCTACAGAGCTGTCGACTATCGACGCCTTTGAGGTGAAAACGGATGGACCTTTTGACAACTTTTGGTTCTTCCCAATTTTGACCACCAATTTCAGTAATGGTTCCATGGACCGGTGATCACCTTCTATTTTGGCAACCATGTTAGTAGCCCCACAAGGTGGTAGCCAATTTTAGTAGCCCCATGGCCGGTGATCATCTTGGATTTCTGGGTCCAAACTGGGCAACTGAGAAAGTGTTGGTAAGTCATTCCAGTGCTAGCAGGTCTCCGGCAGCCGTTTTGCCGCGGGAGTCCTGATGCTATGCTTCGAACATGTTCAACAAAAAGAGGATCTGCAGCGCAGAGGCCGAAGATCCCAGGGTTTAAATCCTTTGATCAAGAGGTTGGCACCCGATGCGCGCAATGCTGGCTGAGGCAACAGATTGGATTAGTTTGTAAATTCCTGTGCAAGTTTGATAAGGCCCGATGAATAGCGGGGGTATGCCGCACCAATCCGAACCTTTACCGTTCGAAATTTGTCCATATGAGAGATGGGGGGGGGTTGGTCACAGCATAAATTGGCAGAAAGCCAGGAAAAACGATCGGGCCACCAATGATACACGGTGGCTGCGCTTGCCAAAGTGTCCTTGATTCACTACGCTAGTAGTGAGAAGCTCGAGCTGGCGTGTACTTTTTTACTACGTTTGCGCAAAAATGCTGTAAAACGATAAAGCCACTACCAAAACGATGACCACCTCAGCAAAGAAAACAGGCTTTGAAGGTAACTCATATGTCCTTTGGCTCTCAAGAGAAGCCCTGCGCCCCGAAGGGGTTGCCAAGCGAAACCTTTCAGACGCAGACACACAGACGCAGTTGCACGCGCACGCACGCCCAAACACACACTACACACACCACA